TTCCTATAGGGATTCCATATGCACTGTGGTGGGATAGCCTGTTCTTCAGGGAACTAACAGGGAATACTAAAATAACAGTGTTCTAGACAGAATTAAGATCTACAGAAAAATATTATTATGGACATGCTTTCATGATTATCAGGGAATGAATAAGAAATGACATTTATCCTAACTCATCCAACAAACTGAGCCTTAAAAGACAATACACAGAGCAAGAATTGGCTGAATCTTTGTTCCCTTATAATCTATGACTTAGAAGAAAAAATATTTATCCCCCAAAATGTCCCCTGGCTGTCCTTCACAGCAAAAATTCAGATTTTGCTTAAGTTCAAAAATCTTGATGACTGGACACTTGTTCAGCTTGATTCCCTTATGTATTGGGTGAAGGTGGCAAGGTTGTGGTAGCAAGAAGGGCTGCAGGGGTGGATTCTGTAAGGACAGAAGTTACTACTCTGTGAGGACATGAGTTACTGTCCTGTCACTGACCCAGCGACTAATTTGAGTAACTAACAGAAATAGTAACAAAGAGTTAGGTTATGAAAACCAGCAAATTTTGTTCCAGGACAAATAACCATCTTTTTCAAGAGTGGAGATAAAGGTTTGATATGGATGACTGTGGAGGGTATGTGCTCCGTGGGCCTGGTAGACCCTGTAAGTGCCCACCACACAGCCCAGTGGCCAGCGATATTCTGGGGGGAGACACATTATTTCAGGATAACAGCAAGGCATGTGTCAATGAGTGGCTCAGCCTGAAAGGTTTATTCAGCCTTCAACTAAGAAAAAGTTCCTGGGTCTAACCTTCAGCTGAAACACGAGAGTTTACTGCAACCACCTCAAAGCTCTCCCAGATCGTCCATGAGCAGTAAAGACCAGGCTGGACATTCCTCACATTCTAGCAGGGGAAAAAAAATCCCTCAATTCTTTGTGCAGAAAAATTATTTGGCCCTTAACTTGTTTATTTTTCAGATACTTAGCCCACAGTGTGACCCACTGTCACATGGTTTTAGGTTGGGGTTTTTTTCAATATTAAAAGAGCTTAGTTGTTCTTTACATGTATGTTAACTACTTTCTACACTGTTTTTCCATTTCATTTTTTAATGATATATTCTGAACATGTAACTGTTCTCTTCCCATATACTATGGGAGATTACAGTACACTGCAGTTATTACAATAATATTTTACAGTAATCTAATAAATGCGCTTTCCTCTTAACATTTTTATAATGCCTATAAAACACGACTCAACCCAGTTTCAGAGCAACTTCAACATTGTTCCCATCGCACTGAAAACAGAAGCCTTCTAGTGGCTTTGTTTCTGAGCTCCACTTGCTTGCTTTATGCTGCATGCAGAAGCTTAAGAAAATCTGAGCAGGTAAAAATTGCTCCTTAATGTCAGTATTGGCAACTTGGGTACATCCTGCCATTTAAGCCCAAACATGCCAGTGACTTCCCATGGTAGGTGGTTTAAATGGAAGGAGGAACACCTTTGACCAAGATACATATCCATGAGTAAAGAAGCAAGAGTGGAAAGCAGGAAGCTTCTGGAAAGCCAGCCACATGGGCAGTATCTCCACTCGGAAAATATGGTGAAAAAAATCTCCTTTGCTTTTTTCTTTAAAGAAGTGTATGTTGAACAGGGACTATAACAATGCCAATTAGCTGACAACTGTCTCTGAAACAGCTGCCACTGGCTCTTCTTAGTGTAGCAGTGCTATTGTAGCCGTGTTGGTCTGAGGTCACAGGCCGGGCAGGGTTTACAGATTTGAAGTTACAACTTGCCGTTACGAGCGCACTTGTATAAATCATTTGAACATATGCAAAAAATGAGTTCATAAAGCCAAAAATATGTTAGTGATTCCTGAACAGAAAAATAGGCTGAATTCAGATTATTGTTTGCTATCAGCAGTCCACTGGGCCCTTGTGCTTTGACACTATTCCGTATGTTCTCCTTCCACCAATCACATTAGTTCAACACTTACTCTCCTTTGCATCACACTTAGGAATGGAGCATTTGAATTTCAGCTACTGTACAAATGAACACACATATTATATACAAATAAAAAGCACAAGATGCCAGAACAAGAGGGTCAAAGCTGCCAACAGTTTTTCACCTACTGATTAAGTACTGAAAGAAAAATCACGCTGCAGGATCATCCCAGCCAAATTCTTGTGGTTCTTATGTAATTTAGAAAGCTAAGTAGCTATCTCTGAAAAAAAATTCCTTAAGAACATTGATTTTATGGGCCAGAAACATGTCTCATACAATTAGTATAGTGCTGAACTTATATCTACAGTAGCTGAGTATCTGGCTCTTAATGGCATTTCAGTTTGCTGTTTAAATCTGTGAAATGCTTGGAGTCATATCTATTATAGACTTTATACATTACACATCTGAACAGAAGTCAAATAGCTTGACTATCCATGGCCAACTAACATGACAACACTGTAATGTTCTCTTAACTTCACTGTGGAAAACTGTAAGACTATTTAATAATTACTTTTAAGAAAAAGTAATTTGTAGTTAGTTGGCATTAATGTTCTCTGTCACCTCTCCTGTGTTAAATGTTTGAACTAGAGTTTTTCATTTCCTTGTGGAAAAACATTAATAAAGTAACAGGAACAGGACAGTATTTCTTGTAGTGACATATGCAAAAATCATTATTGCATGTTCCAGCCTTTGCAATTACTGCAATGTATTATTGGAAGAAGCCACATGTTCTCACTCGCTTTGTTAATGGGATTTAAAAAGACACATGGATGATCTGGGATACAGGAGCACTGAGAAGTCTGAATAAAATAAAATTCTCCACTTGGGAATAATGACATATTCACATAGGAAGAGATCATTTTGCCACATCAATCCTTTTGCTTCACTCAAGGAAAGAGAGTTGATTTTTTTCCTGAAGATTATTTTATGGGCTTGTTGGCCCACAAGCAACTTCAGACAGCAGACATGGACCATGGAAACTCACAAAAAGGTATGGCCTATGGCCCAAGAAGCACATGGTTTAAATAAATGGAGCGTACTGAAAGAGAGGTTGCCTCCATCCTTAACAATATTTAATAAAGCTTTTATTGTAACACCTTATCTGGGTTTTTCATCAGTTTTTAGCATTCATATGGAATAAACTTTTCCATCCGTGCCAGGAGAAATATTAAAAAAATAATTCACTTACATTACCAGGTCCTGCCCATATAGCAGAAACTGCAAGGTAGTGATTTTACCTTTGTGCTATTACTGCACTGTCTGGACTCCCTGGAAGGCTCCCGCAGCCAAAGACAAGTTCTGGTAGCCAGGGATTTATGAGTTCACTATCAAGAGGCAGAGACAAGCCAGAGGCATGGACAGCCTCCATCGCTCCCAGGTTCTTCAGTCCTAGTAAAGGAGGGCACAGAGGCCCTTCAGCTTTTCCTCAGGAGAGAACTGTAATTTTCCTAATAGCATGAGTGTGGGGTAGGGGTATCTGTGGCATGACCAGGCTCAGCAATTTTGCTTGTTTAACCCAAACATATAATCCAGGGTAATGCGACTTCCTTGTCACTTTCCCAAAAGTTTGATGTTTCCACTGTACTTCCCTCCTGCAGATTGCAGCCATTTATAACTGCAATAGTGAAATGGGTTACAGGAATGAATGCTAGCAAATGAATGCCTGTTTATTCTATACACAGTGCTTGAGGCTGAAGATTGTTTGTATAATCCCTTCATGTAACAGCGTATGGGGAATGCCCTCACAACAGACTGCTTCTCCCCCTCCTTAATTACTCATCTCTGTGTTTTGAAGCAGCAGATATGAAAGAAGGAAAAAATTACAAATTAAGTTTATGTCTAACGTAAGAAAACATTATGGGCAAAGCACAAACCAACAAGAGAATATAAAAAAGTGCTCAAGTATTTCACACCCTGATGAAAATCCATACAGACTAGTCCTCATCTATGCTTAACCTTATAACAAGTTTATTAAACTGTCTTTCATGGAGTTTTATCACAATGGAAAGTCTTCCTAAAGTCTGGTAACCTTGCAATGGAATTTTGCATATAAAGTTGTTTTCAGGTCACTAGCATACTGAAGGCAGCAGACACATTATTTCTCCACTATAAAATATTATCTCTCCCTATGTGCTAGATAATGTAAAAATTGCAAAGGTGATTTCATTTGTTAACATAAACCATCTTTCTCTTTTTTAACTAAAAAAGACCTCAGCAGTGCTTATTACAAGTACTCTGCCCCATGCCATAACTGAACCTAGCTCTTTGCCAATGCCAGCAACAAACTATTCCATCATTTGAAGATTTTTTTAAACCTTTAAATGAAAGGTTCGGAAAACAAAGCAAAACAGAAGGCAATCCAAAAGCCTCCCATGATTTATACTTTAATTTCAGCTGTGGGAGACAAAAGAAAAGCCCTTTCAACAGTTTAACTACTTTTCTTGCACAAAAATCCACTTGACATATTTCCAGTCTAATAGCAGTCATTATATGTTATTTGGCCATGAATCCTAACCATTTAAGAAGCAAGACTGGGTGACCAAAATGTTACTGTGCAGAAAAAAAATAACAAATAACAAGACTTCCTTTTTACAAAAATTACAATTTAGGTGGTTACTTCTGGACAAAATTATAAGGATCTTTATATCTAATTTCAACATTTCAGAAAAAAAAAAAAACAAACAGAAAACACTGGGTTTAAATATATATATATTTATATATACTTCTCTGCCCCCTGGTGTTATAGCTTGCAATGTGGATTTTATTTTTCTGTGGGCTCAGTGCATTATATTTACCTTTGTGCTAATACTGTGTATTTATATGAATGGTACATGATGTTCTTTGGGTTTGTTTCTTATATTCCATTTATAAAAGAAAAATTCATGATAAATTGATCACAGTTACAAGCAGATTTTTCCATATTAGCGAAATCCTGGAAATCCAGCTATGTATAATCTTCACTTTAATGTGATCGCTGGTTTTTTGACTACAATTTCCTTTCTAGAAAACTCACCTCATCATCATCCATCAGATGTTCCTTTGCAAATTCATACATTTCCAACTGGAGCGTGGTTATGTTGTGGTATCGAACTGCCTCCTATCAAAAACCAAAATTTCTATGTCACTTTAGGGTAGCAAGACAGCAGTGTCATCACATGTCACCTGAAACGACTCCAGTGAAGTCAGGCCCAGATTTAGTAGAAGGTGGATCCCAGGGGGAGTTATAATGTTTGAGAAAGGAAACAGCAGACCAGCAAGCAGCGTATCCAATGTCTTCTGTGGCTCTTTCTAAGCACAGGCTCCACCGGTGTGAGAAGAACAAAGCACTCTCCTCTTTCTCATGTTTCAAAGCATTGGCGAGTCTGAGACTAAGGAATGAGACTGCCAGAGCTGAGCAGCAGCCCGTGCCTGCATTCCAGCGGGCTTTGGACGTGAGAAAGCCTCTGTCTCCCTGTGTGCTGGCATATAGCAGCAGGCAGTTCTGGGAAAGAGACGCTAAACTATTTTGCATGATAATGACTCACCACCCCTGCCTGAGTCTGGGCTAGGGAAATTCTGCACGGTCACCCACCTGTCCCACCTCACCTCCCTGGCTGTTTGCCTGGACAGCACAGTTTAGCTCAGTCACCTACTCTCATATTTGTGAATAACAACGGCAACCTACTTTGATTGTTCCATTTAACTCTTTTTGGGGAGGAAAAAAGGAGACTTCCTCTTTCACAAGAATGTCTAAAGCTTAGTGCCAGAGACAAGTGCTGCTGTCACCCCATTGCCACTTTGTGAAAATAAACAAGAGGTATTATGGTTTTCATAGCAAGTGATTAGGACAGCAAGCAACTTCTGTTCATAGTTATATGGATCAAAGTACAAGAAAATACAGCTGTGTGCACTTCATATTTTATATTTAAAAACTAAATTATCTGTAGTCCCCAGCTCCTGAGAAGTTATCAACAAAACATTCAGAGTTAGTGTAGGGCCCTTGTTCTGCCCTCTATGCATACGTATACCAAATCTGTCTGCAGTCTGCAGTTTAATACTGTGGCTACCCCTCACTCCCACCACCATCAAATATTGTCTCCAATATGACTATAAAGCACAGTTCTATTCCCAAAAGCAGTGACAAAAGAGTCGTCCCTTCCACCTTTGAGCTCAGACTTGCTGCTGCTGCCTGAAAGAATCTAATGCATTTTCTCTGTCTTGTGTCTCAGCTGGCCCTGCAGGACAGGCCTGTGTTTCCAGTGTGTGGATAAGGTGTGTTGCACATAACTCAACAGCTGTCCACAAATAACAAACACTTAATTCAAGCGGAGTGGTATTTTTGACTTGGCTGGCCTGAGAGGAAGGAAAGTGTAATTATCAACTTGACGCAACCTACAAGGTGTAAGTGAACTGCTCTGCAGTGCTGCTACAGGTAAGTGAGCCACCTAAAGCATCGCACAGCTGTACCAAGTTCAATGCAGCATTAAGAATTAAGGGTCTTTGGGCCAGTACAGGTCTCGGTCACTGAGATGTCTAAAGAAACAACACAGAAAGGGCAACTGGAATGTTACCCTGCAGGATGGCCGCCGTTGCTTCAGCTAGGTTAAAGCAACTGACGCTTCCCCAGGGAAGTCATGCCCTAAGAGAAGGAGAAGGTACTAAATTTAATTTGTGGAACATGTATTGCTAATGACTTAACTACTTGTACAGCATGTACCACTGATGCCTGAGGAGTCAGTCACTCAGGTGTCATAAAGCCGTTAATTCAGTTGCATGACATAAATCCTGGTAACAAGAAATGACAGAAATACAATTTGATTGTCGGAGTCCAAGCTGCAGGGGTCCAGTAACACATCAAAGATGCTTTTTTATTTAAGATTTCCTTGGACATGGAAATTTAGAACAGCATAGAAACCCATTTTTAGAGCAATTTTTCAAAGCTAGATCACAGTCATTGCTGGATGGACTGATGTTTACTGTGGGTTCTTTGTAGCAAGTATTCCAACTGAGATAATCAGATGCAATATGGTCCTGAGCCTTTTTCCATCCTCATTCACCTGTCTATGTTCTAAATGGAATAAGTGGAAATTGAGTTTAGCTGGGGTTATGATATCTGGACACATTCCAATGCCCACAGAACCTGAAATAACAAGCAGGTGAGCAACTACATGCTGGCAAATAATAAGTGACTGACAAAAGCCCGAATGTCACTGGAGTGATCTTTTCATCAGGAGATTTCAGAGGCCAGCTGCTTTATTTACTGAGGTATAAAGATAAAAATATGCATGAGGCAGACAAGTATCGCATGAATTTACTTTGCATCATATCATATTATATCCTACTGTGCTGTATTGCAACACAAAAGGCAGAACTATGACATTCATGGTCTACACTACACAGTACATCTCTGTGTACAACTTTCTATATCGTTTTAATAAAACAGTATGTATTTACCTCCAGAACCAATAGATAGCTCCCATTTTCCCAGCCTCTGACCCACTGAGTTTCAGGGAAATATCTTAATGTATCTAGAAGGCATTTTAAGTAATGCACCTACCGATCTGGGCTGAAAATCCTCTTCTTTAAGTCCCCATTTGTCTTTGTGGTATTGATAATAGACCATGTTCTGTTTCATTACTTCATCTTTATGGTCAAACAGGAGGTAACTAGCAGCACAAGAAGCTGCATTCTTCATGTCATTCACTAATTAATAAACACACACAAAAATCCAGATAAGGTAAATGAACAAACTCCTACTGTTATCTAAGCTCTGAAAATCTCAGATGGAAACAGAACCTCCCCAACAGCTGCATATTTCTACCTCCCAAACAGCTGCATAGAAGAAAAAAATTGCTTCCCAGAAAGTATATGCTATCTTTGTGTCCTGAAACAGGCAAAGCCACGATTCAAAAGTGGGGATTTACCTCTGATGTTTTTCTAGGAAAATCATAACCCAATGTCCCTCTCGTATATCTGTAACAGTGAGGCATCAGCCCATAGCTGGTGATACCCACTGGGACATTTATTCATAAACAAACAAAATACTAAATGTAAAAAACCCCGCTTCTTTGTATTAGAATTGACAAAGAGGGAAGAGTCAATGTGTAAAATGTGTAGTCAAACAATGTAAGCAGAAGTCGTTAATGGGTTGATGTTATGTGGCTGACTGCATTTCCCTTTGATGCTGGATTCTGCAGAAACAGCTGTAAGGGCTATATGTGCTCTTTACAGTTCAAGTAGTTCCTCAAGAAACCACAAAATTCACTGAATGATTTACCTATCAAATATATAATCACTGAGCACCAGAACACTAGAATTTCTGTTAAGTGGTCCCCTCTTTCTTCAAAACCTATCAAATATATAGTCACTGAGCACCATTCTAACAGGATTATAAGAATCCACTAGGAAAAAGCAAATGTTATGAAATACTCTGTAGGCTTGTCTATGGAAGAAATTCTGAATAATAATCCTGAATAATACATAGTAAATTGAAAACTGAGTATTTATTCAATAGAAGAAGTGGTGTTATGATAAATATGTTGCCTTGAAGCCAGAATCTTTCTTCTCTCTAACTGAATGAGTTAGAAGTTTAAGAAAAAAAATCTTGTTAAGAGTTACACATTCAGCTGCTTAACAACCATGTGGACCTGACAGTGTGACCACCATGGCTTTTTGGTACAAATCATGGGGTTTTGTACACAGGTGTACAAAATGTGTCTGTGCCATTGCACATGTTCCAATGTATAGGAAGTGCTGACACTGTTTAACATGTTATAAGTTACTTCAAAAAGACAGAATTGGTGTTTAAACATTTAAACATCTGAAATACACTTGAAAAACATTTATCATTTCTATGAACATTCATCATTTATATGAAACTTTGAAAAGTGTAAGCAACTAGTGCCTAAAGTAGGTACCATAAAGAATGAAGGGGAGTGATGGATCAGATCACACTTACTCTGTAACTGCCTCATTTTTCCAATACCCAAGTGGAGATCAGTCACAACCATGCATAAGTTAAAACAGAGGCGCCTGCTCTGGGCAAAATCCAGCCCTTAAGGGACTTATGCTGAGCAATTTATTTTGTCATGAACAATTTTATGACCACAGGCTCTATACATAACATTTATCTCCCATGTCTGTTATACAGGGAGAAAAAGATGGCTGGCAGCTCAGACTTTCTATCCCAGAACAGATTAAAAAGCAGATTCTGGAGGCCACTATTTACATTCTAAAGCATTATAACTAGAGGGAAAAGATTCGCGTCACCCCAACATTATTTAAGCACATTAAATCACTACTTACATTTATAATAAGCAAACTGCAAGTAATGGTACATGGTGGCCACAAATTTCTCAACAACAAAGCCTCCTATAATGGGTGTCAGATTATTCTCGCACTGCACTTTGCATGCAAGGACTTCAATATAATGATCTACAAGGAAGAAAACAACACCAAGGATATGGATCGCACAGTGAATTGTTACAACCCCTCCCATTAGCTGCCCATTAACATTTGGCCTGGGTCCGGCTTATCTGGATCTTGCTGCTTGGAAGTACTGAGCATCTACAACTCCATCTGAGGTACATATCAAGTACTGGTACTCAGACCTTCTGTAAAAATCGGTGCAGTGTGGACTTGAAATGTATCAGAGCGGCAAGTCCAGAGAACTAAGGTTTCACTGACACCTACAGGCAGTAGGTGGTAGGTTTTACATAAAGTCTTACGGAGTATTGCCTTACTTCCTGAGAACTTTACAGTGCTATTTTTTAAAAAAATGTTGAGACCCTTTGCAATTTTAGTAAATTATTGCATTAATAAGGTCCATGTGCTGCTGAGTAAAACTGTGTCACAGAGACATACAGCAGGTGACTGCAAAATAAAACTCCAGAGATGGACGCATTTCATGCTTGCAGTTTGGATGTTCTAAAAGAGAAGACAGACGTGAATATGCTGCTCACTGCAGAATACCTTTCTGCAAGAAATGTTTAAGTTCACAAGCTTACCTGGTCTATAAAAGCTTGCTACAATGGGATAGAACTAGAGATGATCTTATCTTCAAGAAAATACATTCCGAGAAAACCTTCCATCAAAGAATTTCAAGCATTTTCAGGATATATAACATTAGACAACACCACCAAACAGAAATCTGTTAAAGTCTTAGTTTCCCTGTTAGCCATGTTTGGCAGGTGACAGCAAGTCATCTAAGCTTGTGCAGCAAGTCTCTGACCAAGGCAAAAGAACAGCAAAGGCCCCTTCCCCCCTCTGATGTTTTCATCAGAGAACTCCTAACATGAAGAATGCTGAAGTTAACTAAAAATAACTGGCCAAATGAAATTACCAGACCCATCTTTTACAAGAGCAGTGTAGAGTCCAGACACAGTAGTGTTCAATTCCAGCCAGCACTTAAAACCAGGAACACAAGTTGCTCAGTGAAGTGATCCCATGCAATAAGGACAGCTGGCTTCCAAACGTTAACTCATTGCTCAGGGATAAATACGTACCTAGTGCAATTACCAAATACTTCTGGTTAACACTTTCTGCTTCATCTGCTTTCTGCAGTCAAAACCACAGAGGCAGGATCTATCTCCCTGGAGCAAGAGCACAGTTCAGTCCAGGCAGTGCAAGTAAATTTGAGTTTTCCTATCTCAAGAACAAAATATTTGAAATGCATGCACACAGCTGTGGTAACATCATTGTGGTAATGGTGTACTGCTGGGAATTGTCCTTTTCTTCCAAGAAGGAAAGAGAAGGATGACAGCAAGTGCCAGTTACAGCTGCACATGGACACCATACCCTTTACAGTGGCTTAGGGGTTATCCTGACTTCAGGGCTCTGAGCCATTGGAGAAGAAAGTCTATTTCTTGCTTTACCACCTATAATTTGACTGTCACTCCTTAGATGCTGTCCTAGGCACCTGCCTGTTTTGCCCAAGGATAAAACATGGCTTGAAGAATAGCCTGTGATAGCTATTCCCTGTCAGTGGTACTGGTGGATATCAAGCAATTCCATGCTGTGAGAAATTGTGAGCTGCTCATGCATGAACGTATTTCACAAAAGTTTCCCCTCACCAACACATCTAATGGCTTTAAGACAAAACCACCCACCTGCAATGGAGAGATAGAAGTCTTTAAAATCTCTGATCTCTCGGGAGCCTTCACAGGCTGCTGTACAGTCATCATAGGCTTTGAAGAAATCAGGAAGAGCCAGTTCCATGTCCGAGATGGACGTTCTCCAATTGTCACCATTGTATGCTCTCACAGCCCTGACAAAGAGATTCTGAAAAATTGGCAGGAATGAAAACCAGCAGTAGCTGATCTATGGAAATCTGTGTGTACATTCAATTACAGTAAATGATGTCTTTGCATTTCTGGATTACTACATAAACTGTTAACCAGTTAATGTGGATGACTAATGGATTTTACCAGGTATTTTCTAGAGAGCAGAGTAGGTAATTCCATTTCAGATCAACAGAAAAACCTGGACAGAAGTAACAATGTAAGTCTAAAGCACAGGTTTTGACAAACATTTTCAATGGAATCAACAGCAAATGTCTGAGTTCTTTTAAGCTGTGCCAGTACACCACTCATGCATTTGAATAACTCTATGCGTCTGCTTAGCTCCAGTAGTAATCTGCATGGAGTAGCTTTCAGGTATGCCACTGTCTACGATTCACTATGACTCAATTATGGAACAGGGATCTGCATGAGAGGTGAGAATTACTGAATGCATTAAGAATGCAGAACACAGATTATGGAGAAAGACAGCAAGAGAGAAAGGAGAGCAAGAACTGAGAACACATAAGCAAATGAGATCCCTGAATCTCACACAGTAAGAGGAGTAATAGAGCAGTTCCAGAAGACCAGACTGAATAAAAAGCATACCTCATAAGGCTTTGTCTCCAAATCTTTAATATGCTCTTCAGCATCAGGTATGCTCTTATAGTAGGCCATATTTCTTTGCATCATCTCATCATCTGGATGCTTCAGAAGAAATGTGTGAGCTGCTGCAATAGCTTTTGGAAGATTATTAGCCTAAACAGGGATGGGGAGAGGAGGAAGGGGGAAAAAAAGGTTAATTAGAAAAAACCAATCCAAGTTTCCCAGTTTTTGTCAATGAACTTTCCTGCAGCCTATCTATTTCCAAACTTATATGTCATAGAATATGTCACAGAATCGTCTAGGTTGGAAAAGACCTTTAAGATCATCCAGTCCAACCATTAACCTAACATTGACAGTTCCCAACTACACCATATCCCTAAGTGCTATGTCAACTCTACTCTTAAACACCTCCAGGGATGAGGACTCCATCACTTCCCTGACTTCTACTGAAACCACAGTCTCAGCAGCTACAATGGTACAGTAAAACTGATACAATTCCTCTCAGTTTTATTCCTAGCTGCATCACTATGAACAGGGGGGGGGTTAATTTTAGAAGTCTATTATTGTTGCAGATAGCATAGATAATGATTATAAATCAAAAGGACAACTTTTTTTCCCTTCCCCTGTTCATAAAGCTGAAGAGGCACAAGATTATACTGTTGCTCTTGTGTGAGATTAATGTCATGGAAATAACTGATGCTCATCTATGGCTACTGGGCAGGAGTCATCACTTACAATGTTTCCATGATGTTTATGTTACTTATTTGCCTAGCAGCACGGAAGACAGTATTACAACAATACATCCTCCTGATAGTGTTATGAAGTTAGAAAAATAGCAGGGACTTGCTCAATAATTGCGTCCTAATGTACTATGTGATTTTCTGTACCCATTTTTAAACTAACTTCAAACCCCATTAGAGACACTTTGTGAAGTACGTATTCCTCATTTACAACTCAATGTGCCAAATACGTATGCACTTCTGTGTACATGCATTTATAATTTTTATTTTATATAGATACATATTTTAATAAAATATATACTATAGATACACATATTTAGGAAGAGTGAAAGTAAAAGTCTTAATTATTTGTAAAATGTTAAAACCTTTTCCCTCGCAAGCCAAGATACAGAGTTCCACCTCACATCTGAAATAGCTTATGGAAGTGTACATATAAAACAATGAGCAAGAATCACAAGCACGTATGCACATGCACTCTTCTGTTTGCATCCACAAAAGGTACCCTTTCATTTCAGAAAGAAACTTGAGAGATGACTACACCAAAGAAAGACTTAAACCCTGACATGAGCTCTTGCTGCTGTGCCGCTCTGAGTGTCCCGGCGCTGGAACTCTGCCAGCTGCCCTTCCTCTCTGTCCCAAAACTATGCGCTTCCAGTCAGCCCAGACTGCTCAACATGCAGGGAAATCTCAGCTGCACTTTCGTCAAATGCCTACTTGGTTTCTTTTGTGCTTTATGCTTTAACCCTGCTTGTTGGTAGGCTGACGGCTCTCTCATTTTTGCTTAGTCCATAATTCACTCTTGGATTCAACTTTCACCAGTTAAAAAAAAAAATTTGTAGAAACACATTCCTAAGCAAATCCAGCGTCTACGAGAAAGCTCCCCCCAGAGGAGAATGCGGCAGCACAGAAACATTTACTCCCAGGATCTAAGACGTGGCAAGATTTCACTGTAGAACCCACCCGAATAAACACATGGTCACTCTAAAAACTTACACAAAGCATTTCCCTCTGCTTCTCTGCTTTCTTCCTATACTATAAATGCTGGGGGGG